ACTCAAGAATGACTCCTGGATTTCGGCTCTGAGCCACAGCGTGGGAGGTGTTATCATTTATAGAGCTGATTAAGACAGGCAGAGGACTGGTTTTGTTTGATTATTGTTTCGTTTGTTCTTTTTTGGGGGGAGGGGTTGGCTGGCTGCAGCGAAGTTTGAGAGTATGATTTGAAAGTTAATTTTAGTAAAGCTGTGAGATATTCCAATGCAGATCAAGGAGGAAGTGCATAGTCACGTCTGGACTCCGTAGGTGGCCTAGCTGGTTGGATATATTTGGAGGTTGTCAGCATGTATGAGGCAATTGAAGCCAAAGAAATAAATAGTATCTCACCTAAAGAGCGAATTTAGGAAAGAGATGGGGGCTCAGGATGGAGTCCTGGAGAGCTCTGACATTTGGAGGTCAGTAGGACAAGGGCTGGCACAAAGTCCAAGGAGTAGCCAGGGATGAGACAATCTTCTGGCTTTGTTCCATTCCTTCATCCAACCAATATTTATTCTTTGCCTCCTGGACCAAAACTGCTCTAGGTGCTCAGAATATGGTGGTACATAAGCAGTCAAGGTTTCTGCCTCCATGAAGCTTACATTCTGTTGGCGCGCACATACAACAAACAAGCAGACAAATAAAATAAGATGATTTCCGCAGTGCAGGTGCTGTGAAGACAGACAAATGTTGGGAGTATTATTAGGCCAACTGAATTAGGTTTAAAAAGAGAAAAGGGACATCAACATGCCTCATAACATGTAATTATAATCAAAATATTTCTCCTTGAGTTGAGTAATGGCAAATACGATTTGGTTTACAACTTCAAAAACAATGGGAGCAGAGACCGTACTGGGAAATACCTTCACCAATGGGAAGTGAAGGAGACATCTATGATGCCAGCTAGCACGGGTGCTCACTCTGTGAGGAGAAGAAAGGAATCCGTCAAAGGGCAGTTCAAAGCATTTAGCAGGGCTCTCTGGATTCTAGTAACTCCACAGGATATTTCTACCATATCACAAGCACTGCGGGCTTTTTCAGATTGATGTTAATATGTTTTCTATCAAATATTTTCTAAGAGAAGCAAATATATTTTCTGTGTCATCTACAGTTGTGCTCCATATAATTAAGATGTGTGACAACTGTCTATATGTGTGTGTTCCAAGAAGGCAGTCTGCCAGGCAATGCAAGAAAGAAAATGTCATTGATTCTATACTCTGACCATACCCCTCCTCCCCAATTGACTGTTTCTGTCCCTGCTCCAGGGAAGGCATTCAGTGCACAGGAGAACCTGGAGTTATAAAGAGACAGAGATGTGGCTTTACTTCACTAAAGAGCCAGCAAGAGCTCCTTCACTGGAGCTAGTTTGCAAAACTTTTCTAATGACCACTAAGCATGTGCATGCTTTCCAGGTACCTCAAGCTAGGCAAGTACTTTCCTTTCCTTTTCTTTCTTTTTTTTTTTAAACACAGTGTTTGTCATCCCAGAGCCATCTGTGTGAGAGCTGAGTGTAGGGCAATAGAGTTCTTATAGGAAGCCTATCCCAGACCATGACCTGAAAGTAGCTGTGGTTTGAATTCAAATCTGCACCAATTAAAATTATTTCTCCTATCTTCTTCAGAATTGGACCATGATAAACTTATCTGCCATTTAGACCCAATCAACTTCAAATCTTTAATTTTCTTTATCTATTAAAAAAGCTAACTAGTTATAACCTATACTTCTTATGGTCTCAGAGGATTCTCACCTTCCTAGAGTAGATAACTAAGGTGTAAGCAATGTTAGTGTTTGTCTGATCCAATATGGTTGCCTATGCAGTAGAATATAAAATTCTATAAAATTACTGCCAAGATATTAAGAAATACCTAGTCCTTATGGGAAAGAATTGAACACTGAGAGGTGCCTGGAGCTCATGAGGAAAACACGGATGGGGACATGCTAAGATAAAAAATATTCCAACGAAAGTCAAAGTCATTGAATCCTCTCATCCCTCGTACAAATATTTTCCTCCATGTCAACAGCCTCTCAGGTAACAATGTTGGCTGGAGACTAAAAGACTTAAGTAATGCTAATTTAAGAAGTGATTTCTGTGACCTATATGTGTATTCTATTCAACATACATAGCTTTGAAATAATTTTAAATTATCTAATTGCCTGCCTCCCAGGAGGCTTGTTGGCTTCACAAACAGTATAAATTTTCTCACGTTCCTGAAATCCAAATTGGTCTTTTTCTTTATTAAGTTATCCCAGAAACTCAAAGGAATGTGAACAATGAACTGAAATTCTCAATACCAGATGCTGAAAGTTATCCATTTCACCTAAGACCAAATCTGCATATCCCGGCCAGGGTGGGCAGGGAGAGGAAGGTGTGGGCAGAGCAGGGAATATGAAAGGAATGAAGTGTGCCATCAGCCTTCCTCTTTCCATCTCCCCATGGATGACAGCTCCCAACCAGCTCCTTTGAAAATATGCTGTCCTCCTACCCCAACCATGAGAAACCCATGGCCTAGAACTATTTTATATCTCATTCCTATGGACCCTAAGTTACCAAGAGGTGAATGTTGTCAACTCAACCATGTACTGTAGAAGAGAGAGAGAAACCCACTACTAAACGAGGATGTTATTTCTATTTGTATTATGACCCACTAACAAACTTCAAGCAAGGTGAGAAAGGGACCATATCAAGCAAAGCAGAACGCTTATGAGCAGCTTAGAGTCCAAGCAAGGAATCTGCCTTATACATGACTGGCTGAGCTGGGAACAAGACCAACAAGCCAGATGCCTCTTAGTAAATCATCTAGGTCACCTCAAAATTACCTATTTAAGTTGATCGATATTCTACAGGGCAGCAGTGATAAAATTACAAACAACTCGATCAATATGTGTAGTTCTCTAACTTCACAGATCAGTCCACAGGATAAACAACAAGGAGTAAGGAGATCTCACTGCCCTACAGTGTCTTCTCCACACTGCCTGAATAGGTCTCTTTCCCTCTGCTCAGGTGTGAAATTCTACCAAATCAAGATTCATTTGGGTTAACAAGCCCATTTTGAAAGGTAAATAACTCTAAGAGAATTAGTTTAACAATTAAGTCCTTTATGGAGAATGCACTGGCTGCTTTAAATTACTTCCCTCCTAAACTCCAATTGAGATATCCCCAGAGTAATGAGTACTTTAATAGAGACTTAGAAGAGTAATTTTGGAATATGAGGAGAAGGGCTTTAGGTACAGACATGCTTAGGTAGAACTTAAACGTGGACGGTCCGAGCAGCCAGAGGCACGATGAAGTAAAGAGCAGGGGTGAGGAACAAGAAGTCCGAAGGCCCTGACCACAACAGATAAACACCTCAAAAATGTGTCCTGGATGGGGCATGCTCCCAGTTGTCCATGTAACATTGCCTCTTGACTACTCAGATAGGAGAAGATAAGGGTCTAACAGTCTCTACCAAAAGAGAAAAGTCAAAAGCTGCCTTAATCTTAATCACGTCACACTTCGTAGAGACAGATCATCTTGAAACTCAACTATGTGACTAGAAAAAAAAAAAACACCTCCATATATCTCTATATTCCAAATTTTGGTAACAGCTAAAAGGAATGAAATCTTTTTCTGATATTTTTCAAAAGCCTTGCTGACTTAAAAGAACGTATGTCAAAAGGCACTATCAGTTGATGGCGGTGGGCTGTCAACTGTGGGAGTCAAATGTAGGGCATTGTTTCAGTTCCCTCATGCTTCTGTTTCTCAGACCTTTATTCTAGTCTGCCAACGCTGGGGATGAACATATTTTCACTCAGATACAAACCTCCTTTCCTTGAATATTCTAGGGGTTTGGAGGGCCTCTGGAAAAGTCATAAACAGAGTATAGAGGCGCCTTTAGAAAACCAGTTTTTACCAGACTCCAGAGTCAGATGAAGGTATCTTAAGTCTATTACTTATTTTGCAGCTCAGATACTTGATGATTTGTAGTTGTGGACACCAAATAGATGATCTATAAACCGCCTGTGGCCAGAGCTGCTCGAAGAATCCCAAACCTGGCTGGAGGGAGCTGCGGGGCGTCACAGCGCAGTGACTCGGTGGGCCCCAGAAGACTCCAGGGACCTCCGTTTTCACACCGGCTCTACCCTCCCAGCCTTGACGCGTCACCCCAGGCAGGCTTTTAACTTGTTCCCCCTGTATTTCTTTCCAGTCTGTGAGTTAATCAGCAGCCCTTGGGAGGAAAACCTAATTTAAATGATTTGTAAACGAAAGTTTTATGGAGTACAATTAATAATAAATAGCAAGGCGTTAGGACCTTGATAGCGCAAGTGAATCAGTTTCCGAGCACTTCCATCCTCTGCCGGCTGCAATCGGCTGGCAGTTTTTACAGGATGCTCACATCTGCTGTCGGACCAAACCTTCCCAACCCTGCCCAGCTGGAAAATCTGACGACTTTAAAATTAGCACCTGAGCCTCTGACGGAACCTGGACTGGGTCCTGACGGAAGAACCAAGGGGCATTCGGAGGCTTTGGAGGACCGGAGATTTAACACCAGCGGGCTCAGAAGAGGCTGTTCTCCAAAGGTCTGAGCCCCGAGCTCAAGGAGGGAGGGTAATTTATACCTTTCTACTTCCGCACACATGGTACTTCAGGCGCCCGCGAGAATGGGGTAGGGAAGAAGAACCAGGAAGTCCCCTAGGACAATGGCCAGGAACTTTTGGCCACCTTGGGCACAAATTTTCCCTTATCAAGCCCATACCCAAGCCCACCTAACAGGTAAGGTCTTGAAACTAACTTTCTTTTAGGGCCTGCGGACAGCGGCCCCTTCCTGGCTTCTGTGAACATTAGCTCCAGAGTCAAGGAGAGCCAGACCCAGCAGCCGACTGGACTCCCCTACCTGTACAAAGCGAGATCTGAAAACAGTTCCAAAGATGATGTTCTAGGGCTGAGGCAGGAATTTATTCTTTAGTGTCCTGGGAAAGCCCTGGAAACACATTGGAAAGCCAGTATGACCTTCAGCATGTGTGCCCAATATAGCAGACTCACCATTCAACCCATGACCTTGACTTAAATCCTAATCCGTGCCAGTCTTTCATCTGCCTTCATGGGTCCCCAGCTTTGGCACTGGGCCCTTGCTGCTTCTAATATCTCTACCTTTTCAGCATGTAGCTCTCTGAGAAGAAAAAAGTGTTAAAAAAACAAACAAACGAACAAAAACGAGAGCCCACCTAGTTTATCCCACTGAAATCCAGAGCCTTGATTTCCATCAGTCAAGGCTGCTCAATCCAAATGCCCATCTATATCAATCCCAAACCTTGTGGTTATTATTTATGCTGTTGTTGCTTTTAACTAAGACTTTGTGAAAGGATGAAAATACTTGTTTAAAGGTGTTTTACTCATACTATGAAATTTAAAGTATATGCAATTTATTGTAGAGCTAACTTGAGTATACTCACATGCAATTATTATAGCGGGAGGACTAGAATACATAGGCAATTCCTCTCACTAAAAGGTTAATGAAAATCCTTTGTTAGGGTATTAAAAAGTCATCTCAGTTCTAATCCAGCCTGGTTTCTTCTCCTTGCAACATATAGTCCCTGCTAAACCCCTTTTATGGGCCCCATGTTGTGTATATTGGTTCCAGCCTAGGCTGAAACAATGTTTTCTTTTATCACCACACTTATTCATAGTCTCTTCATGAAAACTGCTCTGAGTTAAATACTGGCTTTAATAATTGCGTTCCGAGAAAGCCTTTACTTTCCTCAACACACTCTGAAGAGTATCTGCCACTAAATGGTCCTCGTGTTGTTTCTGTGATACTACAGTTGGGCATCAATTCTGCATGATGCTTTGAAAAATAGAGACCTGCTGGGATGGACTCACTCACTTTGTGAAAATACAATTTCATCTCTACACCATCATTAATATGCACACCAATTCTCCTTCTGGCTCATTTCAACAATAAAACCAATTCTCCAGCTTCTCCCTGGACGGAGCTTGTATACACATCCAGCACCCCAACTTTTGTGGCTGCCATCCAACAGACAGAACCCTGTGCCACCTAGCTCTAATAGTGAATGGGGTTTGGCATTCATATCCCACAGGAATACAGTAAGTAAAAAAAAGTAGTTTTCACATATGGGCACACATGCTATTTCCTCCTGGCCCAGCACATATGGGTAGCCACACCTTGTCCCATCACCTGGGAATTCTCTGCGAACTTTGGATGTGGGTGTGGTAGACTACTGGTCACTCCTAGGGAGTTCGGTTTTTGACTTTGTAGTTCCTGCCCAAGTTCATTCTTTCCTTGAGGAAGTTCAATGCATGGATTATTAGCCATTAAGGACTTTTAGAAATAGTCCAGATTGTTCAGAGCCTTAGTCCGTTGAGCATCTGACTCTTGATCTCAGTGTTGTGAGTTCAAGCCCCACATTGGGTTCCATGCTGGGCGTGGAGCCTACTTTAAAAAAAATTAAAAATAAAATAATAAAATAAAAGCAGCTATAATCAAAACCTCACAGATGTTTACCTCACTCAAGGTTTCTTTCCTTCTTTTTTTGTGCCCCAGGCTATTATACCATCTACTCATCTTCTTTTAACCCTTAATCTTCTTATTTGCTCTCCAGCAGAAAAAGACTTTCTCCCCCATGTCTACCCTGCTGGCTTCAGGTGAAAACCACTGACATCATAGCTGTCTATCATCAACGAGTGCATAGTGCCCTCAGCTCTTAGCAATTCTAGCCTCCATGATGTTTGTCCCTGGAGACTTGATTCATCATTCTTGCTTCAGATCAAAACTGCTCTCAATTTATAACTCCCTTCCATTCCTCAGGCCTACTTTAACTCTAGCCCTCGGAAACTCCTACCTCTTCCCTCTCTAGTTTGTACTAAATTCATGAAAAGTGTTTTAGACTTCCTGTCCTTCTATCCTAATATTTGCCTGAACTAGAAAGAAAAATAGTCTATACAGTGCCCAGAAAAAGTACACAAAGGGGCGGGGGGGACATTTATAAACAGGTTGTTAGCCTCCTTCAGGAAAAAGCCAGTGAGCCTGGTTGGGTATCTACCATTGATTTGTATCACTTGAGAACTCCCTCCCAAGTTATCATGCCCTCAAGACTCCAGCCATTTGAATTATATCACTTTTTCTGGTTGTTCCTATCCCAGTTTACTATGAAGTTGTCTGAATGGGGCCTGTTTCCATAGCTTTTCCCACACTGAGTAGATCAGCTGACAAAAGTATATACCAACTTGCTTGGAAGCTACATTTCTCATTATAAATTTATGCTTTACTCTGGTTTGCTCACCCTCTCATATGAGTCTGGTTAAGGTAGCTCATCCCCTAGAACATCACTTTCAAAAAAATATAAACATTCAAATTTCTGAACATGAAATATTTTGGCTCCAATCTCAGACTTTTAGAGACTCAGGAAAAAAACTAGGGTTAAATGCTCAATTCCACTATATTTCTGGGAGTTCCTTAACTCACAGCTGGGCCCGTGGGTCCTTTAAGTCTCATTTTTAACTTTAATTACCACAAAATTATACACAGGCACACACAAATGAGTATTCTATTACTTTCATTGGCACTTCCGAATGAAAATGTCTTTGAATTAATCCATTTTGAGTTCTTCATTTATAGCTAGTATTTGCATTTTTTAAGTCCTGGGTTATTTTACTTTGCCAGGAGTTTGATAAAATTGCAAAAGTCTCAGTTTCTTCACAAAGTCTAACATGTCCCCAAAATTTTGAGCCAAGAACTCTTCTGAGGAGCCCATTAACATATTTAGGAGAAATCAATGCAATGTTTCCCACTAGCAAGCATAATATATTTCTTTTTTTTTTTTTTAAAGATTCCATTTATTCACTTGACAGAGAGAGATCACAAGTAGATGGAGAGGCAGGCAGAAAGAGAGAGAGGGAAGCAGGCTCCCTGCTGAGCAGAGAGCCTGACGCGGGACTCGATCCCAGGACCCTGAGATCAAGACCCGAACCGAAGGCAGCGGCCCAACCCACTGAGCCACCTAGGCGCCCCAAGCATAATATATTTCTAATTACCTCTTCTTTTTTCTTAAATCTCCTGTCTTTCTCTTCAAGACATCACAAATTAAGTTAGATTGACCTATCTCAGCAGGCATCATTTTATTTGGCTTTTCCTTCCTAGCTGTGGGATTGTTTTTCTGATCCTACTACACTTATTGATTTCTTTCCACAAAGAGTCTTCTGGTGAACTTTAGTTCATAAACATTTGAGCCCTTTGTTGAATTTTAGGAATTACCAAAACTGGAGATTGTTATGCTTGTATAATTCTTGTTTGACTATTACAACCTTGACTCTATTTTTAAATACTTCATTTTTGTCCCTCCTCTCTGTTCTTGTAGCTCTAGTCTGCTCTGTGCAGTAAAAGGCAGGCGATAGGCATCAGAGTCGTAAACTTTCCTTGAGAGAGAAACAGCAACACGTATGGTATGATGCCTGAACCATTTTCTCCTAGGATACACATACACCCCCACACACAATGGAAGGGAAAATGTAGTAGAGAAGTCCCTGAAGGTATTCCCCACTCCCATCCAGATTTTAAGAAGGCTGTTTTTACCATCACTGTGTAGACTACATCAAGTTCTCTCAAATTGACTCTGATGCATTCTCCATAATGCCAGAGTGATCATTTTCAAAGCACAGCTCTGGCCTTGCAATACAATGATGACTCAACTCCTGACTCCCCTTTCTATACAGAGTGAAACTCTCAGATAAGCACAAGCTCTTCCATATCTAGCCTCTCCCTTTCTCAAGGCCCCTTCCTTTCTCAGGAGCCCCTTCTCCCAGGGTCTGCTTACCACATATATTCAAACACCACCAAGCTACTTGAGTTCCCAAATGGGCCTATGCCTTGCATTTATTGTTCCCTATAAATACAACTCCCCTTCCCTTATTTCACCCCCAAAACTTACTCATTTTTAAATATCAGATACTCATTTTAAAGTATATTTTTCCCAAACATTAACAGTCTCTGTTCAATTCCCCCAGTGATCAAAAGCATTCATTACTCAGGTCCTTGGCAAAGATTATGAATGGGGTCAAGCAGCAAAGCATGTCTAAGTGGTCTAGGTGACCCATGATCCAGTCCTAACCCTATGTTGTCAGCAGCAGAGCAGTGTGATGCACGACGGTCGACACACTAACATCTCTCTCACATGCACACGCACGTACTTTCCAGGCACAGGGTCCAGATTTGGGTCTAGATATAAGGAGGATCAAGAATAAAGGGTGACTTTTTGGAACTCCCTTCAAGCAGTCAGAAATTTTGCCCAAAATCTTTGGCCTTGCCGCTCTCTCAGTTAGATTCGAGCTTGACTATAATCTTTTTAAAACCTATTTATTGTCTTTAAAATTACTGAACAGTAATAGGATCTCTGGGAGGAAAGACAGTGTTGTTTCCATCTTTGACTCTGACAGAACTAATAGTATGGTTGTGTATTATGTTCCATGTACATTTACTGACAAAATAAAACACATGATATATCTCATTACCACTTTCATAGTTGAGCAGTGCCATTGATATTTATGCTGCTAAGTGTAATGCAGACATTCTGATAAATACTATTAACTGAAAGAGAACACCAACAAAGACTAAACTAAACTCAATTATTTTTTCTTTACTATTTCAAATGTATTTTTGTCCATGGGCATTTAGCATAACTTATTCAGTATGTATTATATCACTTAAGAGTTTATTAAATTACGTAGGCTTTCCTTATGTATTCATGGCATTTTACCCCAGAATGGGTTATTGTCAAAACATTCTTTTTCTTTTTACCAGAAATTGTCAGATTTAAATGACTTGATTGCCAAAATTACTTGCCTAAGTATTTTAAATTATTTGGAGACATTAAATATAAATTAGTCGAGTAAATAAAATTAGCTATTGCATTACAAAGGCAGTTTTTGCAAATCCCCAGGTGGAATATGTCCGACTTGTAGAAACTGATATTTATAAAACAACTCCCTGATCCACTGAAATACACGTAATTGAATTAGATAGATTGAAGGGTCAGTTGTGAAAACAGAGGAATTTCTCTAGGCATCTCAAAGAAGAAGGAATTTAATACAGGGAAATAGTGCTTATAGAACTGATGGAAGGGCTGAGGAGAAAAGACTGCTGGGTTTTAGGAA